AGACACTTGACTCTCTGTGCTTCTCTCTGTTTAGTATACAAATATATACTTAGCACTACTAGCCAGGGGTAAAATAGGGGGGAGTCCTGTCCCTACCATTCCCTTAGAAGCTAGCAAAAGAGGATTTATTTGGTTACCAGTGATCACAGTCATCAATTTTACATCATGGTATTAACAAGTAGTATTATCGCTACATTTATAAATCAACACTTACCTAAAATTTCATCCAGCTGAACTGCATTAAAAGGTATTGACCAAAGAGTCTGAGTACAAGCTGTAAAATCAAATTATAGTTTACTAGTACCTCTGACATATTGAATAATACTATAAAACTGATGTTATTAGTTCATTATTAATCCAATAAGGACTGTGATTTTATTAGGAGACTTTGCAAATCTGTGGAGTTTTAAATGTTGTTTGTAATTTTCTTGTCCTTGTTGTGTGGATATTACAATTTACCTTTCAGAAATTCAAAATAGGTTATCTAATATGTAGGTTATTACTGTAGCCTCCATATCTCACCATCAGTTGTCCTGGCATTCATACTGTTATTCTGTGAAACTGTAGAGTCAAGGGAGCAGTCATTTCCAGGAATATCTATTAAGATAAAACCAATAAAAATAAATGTTTGTTTGCAAGCATAAATTAAATCAACGAATGTTTGATGGCAAACATTTTGTTCATTGGTATAAGCTTCAAAACCTTTAAACTGAGTTCATAACATACAAGGGCTTGTTGATGACTTTATAAATCTACAAATGGTTGAGCTGTTTACAAGTTATAGTTTATGTGATATTAGCTCAAAAGGATTTTTCATGTGTGGATTGACACCTATATTCAACCTCATTTCCAAGGCCTTTTTCTGAGAACCACTGGCAGGTTGACCTATATTCACTAAGGTTTCTACTTACATTGCATGTCAGGGGGCAGAGGTGAGAATGTGACCTTTTTAGCTGAGCGGTTTGGTGTCCATGGAGAAGGCACAATTGCATCTTGAGAAAAATACTGAAAGAAAACAATAATTTTCACTCCCTGAAGATTAAAGAGTCTTAAAATAAATCTAGATGAAATAAATCTAGATGAAATAAATCTAGATGAAATAAATCTAGATGAAAATACGGTGGCCAAGAGAGAGGACACTGAAAGTTGTAAATGAATATCCACTTGCGACTTTTTATTTTCGACTTTCAGTGTCCTCTCTCAGCCACTGTATGAAATACTTTAATAGGCCCCTTCATAGGCACCAATTCATTTTCCCCATGGGATCCCTCTGGTATCCTACTGGCTATGGAGGGGCCCATTTTGTGATGGTCCTGTTTCCTTAAGTTATATTGAGGTAGACAGGGAGCCCAAAAGAAAGGAGAAGAATGAAAAAACACTGCCACAATGCATAGACTTTGTATGCAACCAGCCTAGGTAAAAGTTGTGATGTGCAAGTGTTGTATCACACAAGAGATTTTACTTGAGCTAGTCTCATGCCAGTGTTGTCGSGTCCCTTGCGATAATTAATTCAATGACAAAGACAGCAGTGAAACAGAATGATTTTCTATATTTTCTCAGATTAGAAATACTGAGCTTTATCACGATGCACAAATCTACTTTGAGATGAAAGGCAATGGTGAAACTATCTCCTGCAGGTCTTTAAAGGTCCTTGCAAGTTGCATGTGAGGTCAAAGCAGCTTCATCGGGAGTTTACATGTAAATTGCGATCTCTTGGTAACTAGAATCCATTGTTTTGTCCTCCAGTTAGTCCCATGAACTGTAAGGAGTTTATATTTGATTGGAGCAAATGTTGAGGTACTCATCCCTACCWGGTTTCAAAAATTTATTTATTGATCGATTTATTTTCTGGTATTTAATTTTAAGCATTTATAGGATTGTTTTGATACCTCTTCTATTGCTTCTTGTTCAGCCTTTTCATCTTCAGGCCTAAAAATAACCAATCAAGTTAACTTACATATTTACCAAAATAATAATAATAATAATAATAATAATAATAATAATAATAATAATAATTTTATTTTATACAGCGCTTATACAAATCTGCTCTAAGCGCTTTCAAATTACAAACAATTACAATGACAGAGTCATGGTAGACTGCGAGCTTAAGATACTGATATGATCTACTACTCTCTCAATCTCTCCCCATTACCTTTCGTATGTACTGCTGTATTCTTGATTAGGAAACTCATCAACATCGGCAGGATACTAAAACATGGAAAATTAAATCAAATTTGAAAGATTTTTTTTTTCGAGAAAGGACGCATAACGTCCTTGCAATCAGAATGCAAATCAATTACTTACGAGTCGTGAAATCTGCTCTATGGACCACCTGAACTCCTTTTTCTTTGAAAATAAAAAAGATGGCTCCGTTAAAGATTAAATTATACAAAATCATGGAAGAGTTAGGTGGCGGTTAGAGGGCATGTGTAGGAAATGGCGCGCGCAAAGCAGGTTTTCGCTTATAAGAGAATGTTCGAAGTTACAGAGAGAATATTCACTTTTGATAAGTAGAATATGAGAATATTTTCCAGTCTTAAAGCTAATAGTTGAAATAAAAAAACAAAGGAAGCAATTTTAGACTCCTACCTTACGATTATTGACWGGAGTTTTTTGAGTGACGAACATGGAAGGGCTGAAGCCAGGATAGTTCAATTTCTCTTCGATATCACTTTCAAAAGGATTTTTTGTCACTTCAAATGATGATATRGAAACTTGACTCTCTGACATGCTTCAAGAATTTGCTGAGCAACATTAAATGGCTTATTTAAGGAGTTTTTTCAGGTATTTTTGGCTAGACAGTTTGAAGAAGCCCGCTGTTTTATTTTGAATTTTAGCGCTCCGAATCGGCTRCGAAGTTTGGACGGCTGTCATGTAATGAGATTTAGTATCTTAATCAAAAAACTGCACAAATATTTTCTAACAAAACTGAGTAAAAATGTCCCAAAAAGCAATAAATGCTGACATAAAATATGTATTGCTACTGCAATGAGGTTAAACCTTACCTAAGAATTATTTTCAGAAGGTTATTTTACGYAATTGTAAAAATAATTGGACTAACTTTTTCAAAATCTTGAATTTGAGAGATTATCCATTGTTATYATTATAAATAGTGCGAAAAAAAATCAGAAAACGAATACATTAAGCTATAAAATAACTAGAAATAACTGTTAGTACTAAAAAGATGGAAATGATGATATAATAGTCGAAATTTTAAGATGTGTGTATGAGAATTTATCATTATTTTGAAAAGATGTTTGAGATTCTCATTACACGGTCAGTAATGTTATRGAATTAAACCGCTGTACAACATAACTGATTTTAACATTTCAAAATGGCGACYGACAGCGAGAAAGTTGCAAGTGCAAGAGAAGCTTTGGAAAGTAAGATTTTACAACGACTAAAAAGTGTTAAATAGTTAGAAAGTTATGCAATTGATCGATTATTTAATAAGGGTAGCAATTTCAAGCCTTATTTTGTAATCAGAAGTCATTTTGACTTGTAATTCCGTATCCTCCAAGACACAAGCCAAGTCGTAAAATTTATTGCAATTAACTTTTATTCTAGCACTAACAGAGATCTCCAAGCTAYTAAACACAGGTTTGGATTCAGAAACATTAGCGATATGTGTGAAACTTTGTGAAGCTGGCGTCAATCCTGAAGCTTTAGCATCAGTTATTCAAGAACTAAGACGAGAATCTGCAGCAATCCTGGTCAGTATGCAAAGTTGTTAGCTAAACTGWTTCGATTTTTATTAAAGTTTTGTCTTTTGTGTTGTAGGATGCAGAGCAGCAAGAAACATAGATTGTTCAACTRAACAAAACAAAGTGGAATTCTTTTTACAAGAAAATGTTACTGTGTATGATCAGAAAGTGCACTTCTGGTATGATATATTCTCAACATTTGCCACAAGGCAATGCATTTTGTCGATAGCAGCTTATTTTAGACTGTTATAGGAGAGTGGGCCAACAGCAGAAGATATAATTATTTTATAAGAAAACAAGGCAACCACTTTCATTTTTTATTAGTTTTTTGCTTCTGTCTAGGTAAGGTTGTAAATTATAAGAAACATTGTATATGGAATGTAAATAAAAAAATGCATTTTGAAAAAAAAGTTTTATTCTTGTATCTCATATTAAATATGGTTGAATAAAATTGTGACATTTGATTGGCTTAGAGGAGTGGTATTTATCCTTAATAGTGGTATTTCAAATTGCACAATTTTATTCAACCACCAATAAACAAATTATAGCATGTTTTATACATGGAATACCACTTGTGAGTTTACAAAATTGTCACAAATTTCACTCGGCTTCGCTTGCAATATTTTGTTTGAAAATTTTAAATTATCACTCATGGTAAGACCACTACAAAACTGCTATTATCTAATGTAACTCTACACTTTCAGTGATATAAGAGTTTTTGTTTAGAAAGTCTAAGACAGCAGTTCAAGCAAAAGTAGCCAAAAGTTCTGCATAATTGCCGATAAAACAGCTAATCTTCAAAGGCTACTGGCAAGAGTTCCTAAAAAATTTATTAAGAAATTCCCATATGTAGCACCAACATTCTAATTGGCTTTTCTGAAACAACACATGAATTAGCATTGCAGTCTAGATTCAGTACAAACATCTTTTATTTTGTCTAATAATAATATGATTCTTATTGTCTGAATTCCCTGGTAATGTTTGACAATAAATGCCTGTATGTTATTTACAAGAATGTTTCTTAAAAACACTGAAAATTCAGGGGTAATTTTCAGACATATAACCAACAACYAATATATTTGAATAGCCGACTTTAGATATTTTGGTTCAGTGACCATGCACAAAAGAATTGCAGACGAGGCTCCGGGGAAACAAAAAGAATAAATCAAGATTATCTATTGTTTTCCCGGAGCCTTGTGTGCATTCTTTTGTACATAGTCATTGAACCAAAATATCTAAAGTTGACTATATAGAATTTTCAGACAGCTTTACACAAAATACATTTTTAATTTAGGACATATYTTCCAAAACAACAGCTATACCCTGGCCTCCCCCAATACATGCAGAACCAATAGAGTGTTTGATCCCTTGTCGTTTCATTTCGTAGACAAGATGACCAGTAATTCTTGCACCAGATGTCCCAACTGGGTGTCCAAGTGCGATGGCACCTCCATTTACATTTATTTTTGCGATGTCCAAGTTAAGGTCTTTCTGAACAGCTAAGAATTGYGGAGCAAAAGCTTCATTGATCTGAAAAAGGGTTAACATTAAAAATACTTAATAATAATGATGATTGTGGTGGTGAAAATAATAATTTCTTTAACTGTAGCTGTAAATTTTTTCTTCGTCATAGACCTATTTACAATAATTTCAAAAAGTTAATAAATATTTACAAAAATTCTTACAATAATATTATTTAATAATAATAATAATAACATAAATAATAATCATATTAATAATAATTTTAGCAATTCCCTTTTTAGTCATTTCAAATCCAATTGTTAACAACATTTTTAAAACATTCTATATATTATATAGTAACAAATTTGAATAGGTTAAAACATCAAAGAAAATATAAGAAGAATCTAAGAAGATCTAACCTCTATCAAACCCATGTCATCAAATGTTTTTCCTGCCCTTTCTAAAGCAGTCTTCATTGCTGGCACTGGTCCAATGCCCATGATAGTTGGGTCAACACCGGCGATGCTGTACGATACTATTCTGGCAAGAGGGGTAAGGCTGTGGTCCTTGACGGCTTGTTCACTGGCAAGAACTAAAGCTGCTGCCCCATCACAAATTCCCTATGAAAAACATAACAAATGATCAACAATTTGTTGACAATTTTTATCACTTTTTCTAGCATTTCATAGGAGATTTTTAATTTTTAATTTTTAATTTTTAACCTTAAAAGGTTATGGCTCATGTCAGGACAATTTTTAGAATTTCTCATTTTTATACTATTTATAACTGACTTGCAAGGCTTAATGCAATTCAGTTAAATAATCTTCCTTGCTTTTTTATAAGATTTCCTAAACTTTTTTATTGCTTAAATTTTAAACCTCTCAAAAGCTCAAACTTTCTGAGATCGTTTTTTTTTTCTTTATCACGCCCTATAGGATCTCAATTTGAGCTACATTATTGAAAACCACTCCATTAAGAGCATTCTGGTAGTTGTACCCAGAACTAGCTACTAACTAGCCTATGTACATCAGTTTCTCACCCCTCCGAAAAAATCGGGGAGAATTTTCCCCGTAGGGGGGGAGGGGTGGGAAACGGATGTACACAGGCTAAGAACACACTACACCATAATATGCAAATTGGTCTTATCTTAGTGTAATTTTCAAATAAACACAAAACTACATTAACAACATACTGATGCATTTGCTGCTGTAACAGTCCCTCCTTTCTTAAAGACTGGTGGAAGGTTAGCAATCTGTTCCAGAGTCGTTTTAGGACGAGGATGTTCATCAATRGCAAAATCTTCAGGACCTTTYTTTCCCTTGAGAGTTATGGGTACAATCTCCTCCTTGAATCTTCCTTCTTGCTGAGCTGAGAAAAATATCATTGTAATTCAGTTATTTTGCAGTCATTCTATATTATCTACTTGGAGCAGTTGGTGAAAATCTTTTACTCCCATTTTGAGAATGTACAAAGTATGTTCATTGAAGAAAAACAAAATGGAACAAATAAGACAGTGTTATAACGTAATTAGTTCCAGTTTTGTCAAATTTCCTCCCAGAAAAAAGGATACATATTAGATTGTCAGACAATAATTGTAAACCTTTTGAAATTATACCTTTAATTATTTTAAGATTACTCTCAATCTTGGAAAATTTTACTAATATCTTATTAAGAAATATAAAACGGCACGCATMTCTGTCCTCTGATATAAACACAATGGGAGTCGGAAAACAAGAGAGAAGCAAGATTAGAAACACGAGCATAGCGAGACCATTTTGTAGTTCTTTCATAAAATTTTTCTGCATTTTTCCAGCATATAAGCCTCTATCCTCTGATATAAACACGGCCGTCAGCCAATCCAAGCACACATCATATATCATAATTAATTTTAGAAAATATCTATTTACATTGTAATCATCCACTTAGTCTTAAATTGATCCATTTAGTTGTTCATGCTCATTTATTCAATCATTCATTCATTCATTTTTCATTCATTCATTACCGACTCCCCATCTTTGTTGTGTTAGAATTGCAAATTCATCACATTGCTCCCTGGTGATGTTGTACTTCTCAGCTAAGTTTTCTGCTGTAATTCCCATTGGTAGCCCAGCTAACNATAGACCTATTTACAATAATTTCAAAAAGTTAATAAATATTTACAAAAATTCTTACAATAATATTATTTAATAATAATAATAATAACATAAATAATAATCATATTAATAATAATTTTAGCAATTCCTTTTTAAGTCATTTCAAATCCAATTGTTAACAACATTTTTAAAACATTCTATATATTATATAGTAACAAATTTGAATAGGTTAAAACATCAAAGAAAATATAAGAAGAATCTAAGAAGATCTAACCTCTATCAAACCCATGTCATCAAATGTTTTTCCTGCCCTTTCTAAAGCAGTCTTCATTGCTGGCACTGGTCCAATGCCCATGATAGTTGGGTCAACACCGGCGATGCTGTACGATACTATTCTGGCAAGAGGGGTAAGGCTGTGGTCCTTGACGGCTTGTTCACTGGCAAGAACTAAAGCTGCTGCCCCATCACAAATTCCCTATGAAAAACATAACAAATGATCAACAATTTGTTGACAATTTTTATCACTTTTTCTAGCATTTCATAGGAGATTTTTAATTTTTAATTTTTAATTTTTAACCTTAAAAGGTTATGGCTCATGTCAGGACAATTTTTAGAATTTCTCATTTTTATACTATTTATAACTGACTTGCAAGGCTTAATGCAATTCAGTTAAATAATCTTCCTTGCTTTTTTATAAGATTTCCTAAACTTTTTTATTGCTTAAATTTTAAACCTCTCAAAAGCTCAAACTTTCTGAGATCGTTTTTTTTTTCTTTATCACGCCCTATAGGATCTCAATTTGAGCTACATTATTGAAAACCACTCCATTAAGAGCATTCTGGTAGTTGTACCCAGAACTAGCTACTAACTAGCCTATGTACATCAGTTTCTCACCCCTCCGAAAAAATCGGGGAGAATTTTCCCCGTAGGGGGGGAGGGGTGGGAAACGGATGTACACAGGCTAAGAACACACTACACCATAATATGCAAATTGGTCTTATCTTAGTGTAATTTTCAAATAAACACAAAACTACATTAACAACATACTGATGCATTTGCTGCTGTAACAGTCCCTCCTTTCTTAAAGACTGGTGGAAGGTTAGCAATCTGTTCCAGAGTCGTTTTAGGACGAGGATGTTCATCAATRGCAAAATCTTCAGGACCTTTYTTTCCCTTGAGAGTTATGGGTACAATCTCCTCCTTGAATCTTCCTTCTTGCTGAGCTGAGAAAAATATCATTGTAATTCAGTTATTTTGCAGTCATTCTATATTATCTACTTGGAGCAGTTGGTGAAAATCTTTTACTCCCATTTTGAGAATGTACAAAGTATGTTCATTGAAGAAAAACAAAATGGAACAAATAAGACAGTGTTATAACGTAATTAGTTCCAGTTTTGTCAAATTTCCTCCCAGAAAAAAGGATACATATTAGATTGTCAGACAATAATTGTAAACCTTTTGAAATTATACCTTTAATTATTTTAAGATTACTCTCAATCTTGGAAAATTTTACTAATATCTTATTAAGAAATATAAAACGGCACGCATMTCTGTCCTCTGATATAAACACAATGGGAGTCGGAAAACAAGAGAGAAGCAAGATTAGAAACACGAGCATAGCGAGACCATTTTGTAGTTCTTTCATAAAATTTTTCTGCATTTTTCCAGCATATAAGCCTCTATCCTCTGATATAAACACGGCCGTCAGCCAATCCAAGCACACATCATATATCATAATTAATTTTAGAAAATATCTATTTACATTGTAATCATCCACTTAGTCTTAAATTGATCCATTTAGTTGTTCATGCTCATTTATTCAATCAYTCATTCATTCATTTTTCATTCATTCATTACCGACTCCCCATCTTTGTTGTGTTAGAATTGCAAATTCATCACATTGCTCCCTGGTGATGTTGTACTTCTCAGCTAAGTTTTCTGCTGTAATTCCCATTGGTAGCCCAGCTAACATGTCTGTCAAACCCTGCCACAGAGTATCTTCCATCTGAGAAAAAACATGATTGAAAAAGACATCAGTTCATAAAAGTTTTCTATGTTGAATAATRAAGAAAATTCTAAAATAATAACTTAGACATATATTATACATATCTTCCTCACCCCACCCCCCATTGTGTTTCCCAGTAGGGGAGGAGAAGGGGGTTCATGTTGGGGGAGTGGGGGTGAAGCTGATTTATCACAAACCTTTAAATCTAAACCCAGTCTTGTGCCAAACCTTGCATCTCTCACAGCATATGGTGCTTGGCTCATATTCTCAGTGCCTCCAACAAGAACAACAGCACTTTCTCCCAAAAGTATTTCCTTGGGTTACAAAATACAGGATTAATGTCAACTTACACCAAAGCTATCTAATCTCTAGGGAATTGACATTTTACAGTAGGAAAGTACAGTAGGGTAAGTCTGTGACTGGTTGTGTGAAGGCTGGATTAATGTTATCTACTCCACTTCCCTTGATTTTTCATGGATCCCCTAGATTAAAATATATCAGATGCCGGATAGATGTACCCTCTAATCAACCAACCCCTGGCCCCTAACAAAGTGGCCGAGATGACTTGATACCTATAATGGTCATGTTACATTCATATGGTTTGCTGGCTAACTTATTAACGTGGTCTGTGGCAAAACACTATGATAATGCAACAACAGTTTATCTAGGACTTAATTTACATAAGTCAGTCCAGTTTGCTCTCTGTTAAATTTTATTGTTAGCTCATTACTTTTGAACAAAGAAAAAACACATTTAAAAAAATGAAGAGAGAATAGCGAAGAGTTACTCAATGTTTATCAACAAACTCATTCTTATGTTAATTTGCCAACCATAATCAGAATGGCTTTTCACAAGTCACTTTGTTGTGACAGCCAACCGTCTTCTGGTTGGCACATGAATAACAAAGTCTTACGTCACATTGAGTATCCAGCTATACTACAATTTATAATGGAATAAGTCTTAACATAATCATGATGTTTATCAAATAATAAAAATTGTTGCAATAAATACCTGAGCTCCGCTAACTATTGCCTGGAACCCAGACCCACACAGTCTATTCACAGTCAAAGCTGGAGTAGATACTGGTACCTTTGCCTTWATTCCAATATGACGAGAGACATATGCTGCATCTGATGCACTCTGGTAATATGACAAGTTTTACAATCAACAGAAAAAAAGTGAGCACCTAATTTATGTCTGGAATAGGGTACTGAAGTTTGACATCATAAAAATCCTTTTTTTTAGGATTTTTAAATCCTTAAAAAAAAATTAGCACTGAATTTTACACTAAAAAAGTAGTATTTTTTTTCTAAAAAAGTAGTCTATCAAATTTCAGTGTGTCCTAGTTCAACTATATCAGAGATATAAGTGCTGTTATGGTTACATGACCACATACAAACAGTTGTAAATTTACTGTAAGTCATTTTGTTATGAACCAGACCAAATTTAAATCTAGCCATCCAACCATCCAACCACTTATCTCGGCTATAAATGAATTTAGGACACGTAAATTAAGCAAGAATGAATTAGTCTAAAAGTGATGCATTTTATTTTATTGTTCACTTTGTTGCATCATCATTTTTGTACTTTACACTTTGCATCGACCTTTATGTAAATGAGTTCAAGATCCATCAAAGATTCTAAAAGATCTTTGCCCAAATCAAGCAAGTCTTCTTCAATGCATGGGTACTTGCACTGAGAAAAGCTACGTATATCAATAAGCTTAATTTCGGGTCTTCGTGACACTTAAAATTGTGGTAACGTGACGGCAATTAAAAACATTTCTCAACCATCAATCATTTATAACATTTAAAAAACATATATTGCTTATTTTGTATAAAAACAGTAAATTTGTATTTAGTTATGATTGTTTTTCCTTTTATTTAAGATCCTATTAAATTTACCTGAATTACATTACCAAAGATAACGTGATCTACGATAGCCGGATCAACTTTACCGGACTCAAGTGCAGCGATCGACGCCTTTTCGCCAAGAACTGTAGCAGTTAACCCTTTTAATTTACCACCAAAGGCTCCAAATGCTGTCCTTTTGGCTGCTACGATGTATACCGCTTTAGATAAGGCCATTTTGGTACAAAATTGAGAATAAAACAATGAAAAACAGAGAAATAGAAATAGTGAAATGGAGAAGAAGTAACTGTTGACTGTCAGGCTTAGTAGCCACGCACATTATTTCCACAGGAAGACCGCGTCAAATCTCTCGTATCATGAGCCTTCGTTGTTCTTGGCCGGAACCGATCAAAAGTTACGTTTTCGGCACAGGCTAAGAAAAACGAAAGCTCGAAATATATGAGATTGTCACGGAGACTGTTATAGACGCTTCACTTTTTGCTAGKTTTTTTATAAAAAGCTCAAAACTTCATAAATTCTTTTTTAGAAACGGTCATAAATGATCGCGGCACATCTTATTTTTGTGATGTCCCTAGCTTTCAAAACTTATTCAAATAAACTACGGTATAAAATAAAATAGTATAAAAAATAAACATTTTCCAAAGATAACCATTCGTGCATCTATCTTGTTTGATTTATATACAAAATGAAATCTAGAAATCAACAGTCGTTGATAAAAATCTTTGTTCTTTGAACAAAATTTMTCATTTATTCATGTTTCTAAAAATTGCTATTGTTACTTTGGACGCTTGTGCCGCTTGGACAGTCCAAAAATAATCACAATCCAATCATTCTCACACACAACATTACTTGTAGGTAGTCAAGGGAGATGCATTTCTCATTGGGTGATTCGAAAATACAAACGTTTTCAATAGTCTTCTTCGCGGTTCCCTGCGCCATCTTGAAAGGTAGCCGTTCCTTTACGTCGAAGCGAGACGACCGCGTTGAGCGTACAATGATAGACTACAAACATGAAATGTGTGCAACACTTTCCACTATTTACTACAAAATAGTATTTATTAAACAATAGAAAACAATAGAATTAGCATAATTTAGCAGTAGTTAGTGGTATTTATCTTGCACAGTTTTAGTGTTTGTATTCTAGAAGCCATTTTTCACTTATTAGGTAGTGTGCAGCGACGCCATTTTGTGCAGCAAAGGATGATGGTAGTTGTAGTCCTCGCACTTTTTTATGTCCGCTAAAGCAGTCCTCCTAACCAGTTTTTGCTTTATCTATGCAAAAAAAGAAGTATTTGTGCCGTTTCTAAAAAGAAAATATAAAAACGGCTTTAATGGAGATATTTTAGATACTGTGAAAAGTACAAGGACTACAACTAACATCATGCTTTGCTGCACAAAATGGCGTCGCTGAACATTGTCTATTCACAGGTTTCTGTCTTTCAAGATGGCGCAGGTAACCGTGATGAAGAAGACTATAGTGGTCCAAGTATTTTGATAACGATTGCAGGCTTGAGATCGGTAGGTAGTGGTTTAGGTGGAAATGTCCTGACTTCCTCGATCCTTACATAATCTTCAAGGTCCACGTGTATCCGAAAACCTTTGCGAYTGTTTGTTTTACTAATGTTCTTTAGCTTGAAGTTGGTTTCTCGGATTGATTCAAAATCAAAACGTTAAGGTTCTTAGCAGCCTGAATTTCAGACGGGGCCTGGCTCCGACGCTAACGCTTTGAAAATCAGGCTAGGTTCTTGGATGCACGTGGGCCTTTTAGTACCTAACCTACCCCATCCCCTTATCACAAAGAAAAGGATATCGGCCTGGGATGGAGGCTAAGTTGTTACGTCACCCAGAACTGATCAGTGGCGAATCCATCTTGTGGCAGCAGGGAGTGAGCAGCCGTCCAGGCGACCTTAGTAACTTGTAATTTTTCGATTCACTGGCCTAGTTTGAGTCTCGATACCGGTACATGTTCGGGGTTTGAAGGTGAACATTGAATAATGAATAACGGTTTAAAATTGACTGGGAATAATRAATAATTCAATAAAACTCCTAAGGAAGAATGAATAATGAAAAAAATCAAAAAGATAAAATGAATAATATCAAATATAAAAAAATATCAAAGAATAATGAAGAATAGAAAAAATATAGARATATATACAATGAATAATGGKAGAAAATAAGAMACGAACAAAGAATAATTGGCATGTAAATATTCACCTTCAGTCACCGATACAAGTGGAAGACATCTCCTTTATCACCTGTACCCCTYCATACTTGTCCAATACTCTGACAAATTTATGCATGACATTGTTTGGCATTCTATTGTATTGTGTCGTTCTTAAAAGTACTATTGTTAATCTATTTTTATGTGGACATGCATATACAATACAATACTGTGCATAAATTTGTCAGAGTATTGTACAATCCTCCACCCCTAAGGTACCGTCACTGAAATGAAAAAGACACCCTCTACCCTGCCTCAAGACTTATATACTTCATTTAACGTTTCCTACATAGGCCAATCAGTTTTTGCTAGACACTGCACTAACTCAGCGCAATACACGAGATGTGGTGGTAGCCCTTTAAGGGTTCTCATCATAGCACCTGCACACGTGATCACGTCGGTCTCAAATGACACCCAAATCGCCAAGGTTAAAGWGTCATTTCTCGCTACAAACATATATCTTCGTCAATTTTCTTCCAAATCTCGATAACATTTTCACGGATGACTGTTGGACAGTCGATGACATTTTCACAGATGACTGTTGGACAGTGCTGGATGCATTTCCATCATGGGAAAATTTCATTTCGGCGAAATCTTGGCTGTCAAACAGCCAATCAGAGGGAACCAGAAGTGTATGATGATGATGCTACTGATTCCACATTCCTTTTCTATCGTGATAGAAGTGATAGAAYCCYGGCAGTCTTAGCTTCTCGATTTCATATCCCTTATTGATAACTCTATCGACCATTTCCCAGTCCTCTCCWCCCCATTTGTTTTTGAATTCCTCTTCGTTCATCCCACCAAAGGCATCCCAGTCTGATTTGTAGATACCTGCAAAGACATTAATCAACCAATCAATATGAGATCTTAAAAATATTTTCTTCGTATACAGTCAGCTCTCGCCTTACGGACACCCCGCTACAACGGACACCTCGATATTGCGGACAGTAAAATAYTGAATCMCCGGCGAAAAATACAGAGAAATGACTGAAAGTAACTCTCGTTACTACGGACTCTCGCTACTGCGTACAGTAAATTACGGTCCCGAGGGTGTCCGTAATAGCGAGTTTATTGTATCACAGCGGTCATCTTTGGAGGAACTTCAACAAAGGATTTTTGATTAGTATCTATATTGTTCATTCAACAAACATGGCCGCCGGTTTTTGGTCTTTTGAGTCACATAGGAATGATAGATAACGAGTAATAGAGAATATTACCATGGCTCGAAGAGCTTTATCTTCAAGTGTTCAATTCATATTTAGATATCGTTATTTTTTTAAAGTCCCAGTATCACCCTGAGATCTTTACTTCCACTAAAGCAATTTTACGGGAAAAAACTTACTATAAACTCCAAACCCCATTGGTTCATAATATCCTTGAGAATGAGTGTGCTTGGTTCGAGGTCTGCTGCAAAAATCGAGCCTCATCACCTGTGGAGCGAACGTGGTTTTTCCTTGAATCGTATGCTGCAAAATAAAATTAAAACATTACAATGTAATATAAAAAATAATCAAAACAACGTTACAAGTGGTATCTTACRCTGAAAGGCTTCTCTAAAAAGTAATCGCTAAAATTTCTATACAGATGGAAAATTACCAATTTTTTTCAGAAAAGAGCACGACTTTTGACTTTTGCCTGCATCCTTGAACCTTTTCGCGATTTTCTCACACGAAAAATCGATACCTTTTGAATAGATCTGGGTAGCATTTAAAATAGGACTTCTGCAACATGAGGAGCTGAGGGGCAACCAATSAAAAACGCTCAAGCGCTGCACGAACCAAAGCAATTTATAACAAAAAATCATTTTTTTTTAACTAAGGAAATTATCGCCTGCAAGGGTTCTTGGATGCACTTTTTAAGGACCTTATAAGGATTTGAGAAATTAAGTCGAACTACATTTTTCATTGCTTTATAGTCATTTTCACGGTTACGTGTGCCATATCCGTCTTGAAAGGTAGCCGTGCCGTTACATCGAAGCGAGACAACCGTTGAGCATGCAATGATAGAAACCTGTGAAGAATTGTCTGTTAGTGTGAAAGAAGATTTCTATTATTGCACACTCAACGGTCGTCTCTCTTCGATGCAAAGGCACGGCTACCTTTCAAGATGGCGCAGGAAACCGTGAAGAACACTATTGCTTTCCATCCGACTCGCTTTCACAACAAGAATCAAATTTGTCTAGTACTTCACCTTACGAATAGCATCAAAAAGATTTGATGGCATCTTAAAATGAAGATCTGTCAAGAAAACTATACTGTTTGGATTTTTAATTTGACTGGCAGCCATRTTGATGGTAGACGACTTGTGGAAGCTTCCATTTCTTGTGATGATGGAGAAACTTGTGATGTTATGTCTAAGGAAAGTAATGGTAGAGCGGATTTCGTATGAGTGGGACACCGTTACCGCACGGTTACMGCACAGTTACCGGAGCTGGCCTGCACAATTTTGGTTACAGTACGATTACGGTAACAGTACAGTACCGTCCTTTTCCCACTCATACGAAATCCGCTCTAATCAGAGACATTTTTACAAACAGTACCGCCATCTTGAATTMTATTGTTTTAAGTATCATTTCAGTAAGAAATTATGAGATGCCCAGAGGGGACTAARCAAGAAATTCATTAGATTTTATAACATGGATGACTAATAAAAATTGTGCAATTTGAATGACTTAGAGGAGTGGTGGAATTTCAAATTKCACAATTTTATTCAACCACTTTATAAACAGATAATAGMATGTTTTGTACGTGGAATTTGGGATAAATACCACTACAAAACATTCTATTACCTATACCGTAAATATATCTCTTAAAACCTTAACATAATTTGAACGGAAGACATTAAAAAATCGTATTTAAATTTTGAAGCATGGAAAAATTATCAGAGAATGAAATTGTTTGGTATCTTTATATAAAATAATTTGTAATTGAATTTTGCACCGTGGACATCCTATAATTTCTTGTGAGAACTCAAGATAGTGGCCTTATTGGTTAAAAGGCGTATTGCCAAWATTAAAACATTAGAATAGCAAGGAAACAAGGCAGTGAGTGGCAGAGAACGATGAGMCGACGAGCAGGAGCAAAAGCAGGCAAGCAAGAAGTAGCCGAACAGGAGCCGAACAAGTGTCGAGCAGGGGCCGAGCCGAAACCGAGCAGGAGCCGAGTACAAGCCGAGTAGGATCCGAGCAAGAGCCGAGCAAGAGCCGAGCAGGAGCCAAGCAAGAAAAGCAAGAAAAGAAGGTAATGTATATTCATAACATACCTTATCATTTCTTTAGTAATGTTAATCCCTTTATTTCCATAATCGACCACAATGATATGGACATGTCTATCGCGTGTTTCGTCTATTATCCGAGYCATTTCCTGCACAAAATATATAAACCATTTGGGCTGATTTCTAACGTTGATTATAACATTGACCCATACATCAGAATTCCAACGCATGTTTTGAAGAAAACACAGTCTCTTTTGTCCCAGCKTCCGGTAAAAATACTCGGAGAGGCGGAGAAGCTTACCATCGTCGCTGCGTCGTAGAACTACTTCAATGAGGTACTTATCGCCCACGACTTGTACGCCTGGACTGTATTTTTCAATGTTGATGATACTGTGTAGTTGGTAAGTTCTGGAAATGTAAATGATACTCACTTATGATGTCTTAGTGCGCTTTCCATTTGTCAGAACTGGCTGGCCAGACCCAGAGAAAATGTCATTATATATCATTCCCATTTAGTTAGGAAATTCAAATTTTCAAATTCTATCCATTATTCTACAGAAAACCTCATAATGACTGAAAAGTGTTGACAAAAAGCATTATATACCTCTAAATACAGTGGACTGGCCGTCCAGTTCTGCCTAAATGGAAAGGACCCTTATAGTACATTCAACTTTTTCATGGGTCATGGTTTCTCCTTAAGAAAATTTAAAAAAGTCATATATTTTGTACTTTTAAATCTAAAATATGCTATTAAAGTAATTTTTAAACACGTCTCTTCGATGTATTTTAGTTTCTATCAAATAAAATTTATGAAATGAAAACCAACGTCAAAGAAAAAACTCGAATGAACGCACATTATGTTCGTAACGTGTCTTTTATAGGTAATAATATTCTGATAAATTTTGTTTCACTGAATGTAATATAAACAAAAAATCCCACAAGGCACTGGAAAAAATCGCGCGCTTTAAAGGTTGTAAATTTGATGTAAATATGATGTAAGTGTCCAAAATGATGTAAATTTGATGTAAATGATTTCCATTAAATTTACAGAATTTTGGACACTTACATCATATTTACATCAAATATACAACCTTTACAGCGCGCGATTTTTTCCAGTGAGGGCTCGTGCAATTACGAAGAACTTTCAGAACATTTCTCATGACTATTAATTCCAAACTGCACTCAAGGTCGTGAGATTTCTTATACTAATCTACACTATTTAAGCACTATTTGGCAGGTTAGTAAGTTTTCAAACTTTGATTGTTTGTACTTCAAAAGCGTGAAAGAGTGCTAACCAAATAGGACCTGATTATATGCGGCGGGCTGCATGCCCTGCTGACCGAGCTGATTGACTTCTGGACGATGGTATTTTCATGATGGGAGAATCTCCGTAGCACTCAGTTGATGTAATATATTCATAAAGATATAATACAAAACACATAATACAATAGAACGAGAAACAATGGAATACAATACATTTTATGAATACATTACATCAACTGCGTGCTACGTAGGTCACTCCAGTCATGATAGACCATTGACCATGCCCGGCTGACCGAGCTGATTGACTTCTGGACGATGGTATTTTCATGATAGACCATTGACCATATGAAAATCAAGCAGAAGACTGGGAATGAGCACCTTAAACGATCAAAATTTTAAAAAATCTGTTTACAATATTAGAAACAGTATATCTAAACTAGTAAACTGGAGGAGTTCTATTTTCTAACATTGAATATCGGCAGAGCTACGAGCATTTGAAAAACGTGAAAACAAGGCTGGTAAGACCTCGACACTGATTTTCACTCAAACGTTTTCAATTTCAAACAATTGTAATTCCTGGTCCTTCTTTAAAAATGTATGAGCATTGAAACTTTCAGATCTTACTAATTATAATATGTTCTTCCAACGAGTAGTAATCCTATATTGTACAACTCGTAATATATGTCCTTACGATAGCCACTCCCTTTTTCATATGGTCTATGGTCACATCGAATAAAGTAAAAATAGTCGAAAAAATGTCAATCAAAAAATGTTCATTAAGTTTAAGATTTGCCCAATAGTTTGTAAATACTCAGAGGAAATACTCGGTCTTTTGAACTACGCGAGATGATATATGGTCCATTCGGCCTGTAGCAAAGCCTCATGGACTATCAACACGTCATTCACTCGACCTCATGGTCTAATACTCCGATTTCGAGGGCTGGTTTGCTCTGTGTTAGCCTAAAAACCAAGTAACATATTCTTTTGCTTTACTGATAGCCGAGAAAACGTATGGGATTTGTGAAGAAAAACAATAAAATTGATTTGAAATCTCACACTTTTATTCTCACCAATAATTAGGAATATTTTGCCCACAAATGAGGCTAGCACAGAGCATTGGAGAATTCGAAACTGGATTATTGTTGATTATCGTAAGTCAAATGAATTGATTGCATCGTTGACAAATTACCTTCCTAAAGATTTGRACATTGTGTCCAAAAAGGATTTCACAATTTGAAGCACATCTTTTTCATCAATAACTTGGTTGGCATTGCACCGATTAAATGTATCATCTTTAGCTGTTSGACTGTGTGGACTACATCGTATAAGGTGTGTATAATCAGTTGGAAATACCTCAACAAAGAATGTATAATAAATTCCCTTATTTCGTTCAACTTTCCGATTTTTTGTGTGAGCTGGTTCGTACACACATTTAGGAAATGCATCGACGACATCATTTCCAGATCTGTTCATATAAGGTACWATTCCCACCGTTTCTCGTGTATACTCGGTGGAATTCAAAGCAAGTTGGTCACCAAGAATTTCTTTTATGTGAGCTTGTTTTAAAGTAAAAACGGGCTTTTTGCTTTCTGAAGTTCTTTCRGCATCYAATGGATATTCTTTCCCTAAAGCGACATCCTCATCCTCAGATAATTGAAGACTGGGTAGACTGGGTATGTCATTTCCTCCAGTGGAAATTGTTGTTTCAAAACTTGAAAGCACTTTGAAATATTYGGACACTTGACTTCCAGCTATGTCAGTAAAATACGTTGCACCAGGCAACTTCCAGCGAATGATAAGTCTTGAATTTAGCTCAATAGAATCCCCCTGAACCTGTAGAATTTCAAAGTAGTGTCTACTGCCTTCATTCAAAAAGACCTTCTTGGAAACAGTCATGTCGTTGGCTATATTTRAATTTGATTGCAGTTTAATTGGTGTATTAGCAATTTTAGCAGTGTTAACTGGCTTACTTGTGCTGCTAAGCCATARCTGTGACAAGGCAGGAGAACTTAGWTKAAAAATATAGTGCCCAGTCTTTGGTGGGTGAAGATATCCCATGATTCGCAGCGCTGAAAAGTTATCTTGCTCCTGAAAATCATACATCAATGAGTTTTCCACAAGAATGTACTTTCTCTCGGCAGGGAGAACTGGAAACAACGGATATCGTTTTAAACTGTTGAAGTTATATGAGCAGACCTTTCGCCATATGTCAATRTTCACATGCCCAGTGAGTCTTCTTCTAGTTGAAGCTGACATCATTGCTATTTTTCTATTTGAAGGTGATATCATTGATGTTATTTGATTTTCATGATATGCCTGGTTTTCGTGATATGCYGAATGATACACCTTCGTGAATAATACTCCAAGGACCAGGAAGGTGGTAATCAGAATTTGTTTGCGTTTCCGAACAGAAAATACCACGAAGAAAAGTGTTGGTAATTTCATGATTTGACAGTCTACGAGGATGACCTGAAAATAGACGAAGGAGATAAAAAAAAAACAGTTAAGAAAAAATGTCAAAAAGGCCCCGTAATCCCCCTGTCTGCTTTGCAAWCGTTTAGTGTTGTGCTTGTTTCTGATTGGTCGGATTAACCGCACTGGAAAAAATCGCGCACTTTAAAGGTTGTAAATTTGATGTASATGTGTAAATGTTCCATCATATTTACATTAAATTTACAACCTTAACAGTGCGTGATGTTTTCCACTGTGCACCATATGGCAATTATTGATGTTTGATTTTGAATTCGGTGCGTAATATATATTTATTATTTCATGCATTGAAACTCAGCAAGTTTATAAAGGCTTACAGTAAAAACCCGCGTATAAGAACCAGGCCTGATTTTAGGAAATAAAGTACCATTTATATAAAAACACATTCAGCCTGAAAAATGAAAGTTGTTCTTATATGGAAAAATATCAAAGATCAACACTACTTTTCATTGCAAACATAATAGTATTCCACCCCAATTATATGTAACAAAATATTAAACAAAATAATCATGTATTAACTACTTAAAATTGTGTGCATGTGATGT